CTACGCTTTTCCGGTCGAAAGATGTAAATTCTAAAAGCCCGAGTCCAGGCGACTCGGTGCTGCACAACCCCGACGTCCCCTGGGCATTTGGAAGGTGAGAAATGGGGTTCCAAAGTCTTGACGGGAAAAAGTCGTGCACGGGTGAACTCCGCCTTTCCGGTCGAAAGGTGTAAAGTCTGGAACCCCATTTCTCATCTTCCAAATGCCCTGGGGACGTCGGGGATGTCCAGCCCCGAGTCGCCAGTACTCGGGCTTTCAAAATTTACACCTTTCGAACGTAAAGGCGGAGTTCAGTGTGCAAGACTTTTTCCCGCCAAGACTTTGGACCTCCATTTCTCATACTTGCACAAAACTTTACACACACATACATACACGTACACACAGTTGCACACAATTACAAACACTTACAAACACATGATACTTACACACATTTACACACACTTACACACATAATTACACACATTTGCACACACTGCATACACTTGCACACATTTACACAAATTTAAACACACTTACACACACTTGCACACACTTGCATCCAATTGCACATCCTTATACACATTGACACATAATTGCATTTCAACTTCCTCACATTTACACACTGTTGCAAACTGTTACACACACTGCATATGGTTACACACACTTACACACAACTTTAGAAACACTTACACGCAAATACACACATTGACACAAACGTACACACACATACACACACTTACAAATACTTACACACNACTTACACACAATTAATCTTACCACACTTACCGTTCCACCATAGAAGCGAATTAGAAAACACGCTATTTTTMGTCGAACCGGACTTTCTTCTGTCTTACAATGACTAAATCCCAAATGTCCTTTTACTGCATTCAAAGTATCCAATTTGCCCGACACATTGACAAATTTTCCCGTAGGGTTGCAATTGCGTTTTATAAATTACCAAGGATTCACACAGAAGAAATGATTGTAATATATTTTTTTTCTTATTTAGTTTAAGAGCAGATGTCCACTAATATCGAGCAAAATCGAGAGTTCCCGGTCACGGTCAAAATTTCGATTTTGCTCATTTTTGGTTTGCTGGAAGGTATTACCGAGTAAACAAACTTGGTGTAGTTCGTTTTTCAAAAACCGCTAAAAATCTGAGAAATCCGAGAAAAGCTGTTGGCCTAGCGGCGATCTCAAAAGTATGCACATTTTCAATTGAATCAAACCGTGCAAAAACCGCTAAAGCATACAGAATAGGAAAAAGATATGAAAACTATATGTTTATAAGTTAATAGAAGAGATGTTTGAGACTTGATTGGGTATAAAATAATGGTTTTAGCTATTTATTGAAAGCGGTCAGATGATGATATTAAGAATCTAGTGGCATTCAGTCATAGATCTGACCCTTGCTACGCCAAAAAAAATTAATCAAGTGCGCAACTTTTTTTCTCAATGAAACTCACGTCATGCATTATTTAGATGTTTTTCTAGAACATATTCAAAAATCAGTGTGGGTTATTGTACTTTGTGTTCATACGGAGGCCGTGAACATTGGGTATTTTCGACATATACCGTGACTGAAGTCGACAAGTGTTTGTTGTTTCTGGTCGCTTTTTTCTCACTGGTTTCTATTTTCATCCGGAATTAAAGCCCGAAAATGCGTTTCCTTTTAAAAAAAATACCTCTTATTATTATTTACATTATTTTAGAAGTTACAACATTCGTTTCGGGTAGATTCTCTAAAGAAAATTAATAACAGTCGGTGTAGCGGATGGCAGCTCCTTGTCGGAGAGATCCGTGACTAAGACTCTTGAATTCCACAAAGTTTAATAATCTTTTCACAACAACTTGGCAGTTAGATGTTAACTCGTCGAATTTCTGTGAGTCTCTCTGATTTGACCTCACAGCGGGTATGATTACATAAGGTTAAAATCACGTGGTACAATAGTTATTAAAAACGATACCTCGGGAGCTTCCGTTACAGTCGGATTAAGCCAGTAAAACTGATACAATTGAAGACCTACTGTATAATGCACTAGTCAATTGAAACCCCCACCCCCCGACCCCCGCGAAATATCGGGGAATTTAACATTTGAGTGGTGTTAAAATCAGACATTTTCCCTGGTAGTCGGGGGCTCAATCACTGTTAAAACCCCCGCTATTGTGACCCCATTATTTTGGTTTATAGTAGTCGATAAGAAACACATTTCACGCCAACTCCAAATTCTTGTGCTACACACAGCCAATTGTTGTGTGTTCCATGCACTCTGAACCTCAAACTCTTGCGGAAACGTTTAGGTTTACGTCTAGTCAGCTGAGAATTTAATGGTATTAAATTGAAAATGAAAAATGCTTGTAAATATTGCAAAGCAGTAGTTTTAATAAATTAATCAAGATCTGATTCTACATTCGAACTGACCGAAGCGACTGAACAAAACCCGTGTATAAGAACCTGGGTTTTAAGGACCTGTTAGGCAAAGATTCTCACTTTAAGCCCCCTCCACATAAGAACCTATTAATTCTAAGAAAGGCTCTTATCAGTGGAGTTCAGTGTAAAAGTGTTTAGGTCGGAAGTTTTTTTGAGCATGTGTTTTGTGTACATACTGCTCTGTACTAAGCTACGGGCTGCCTGAATCACATCGAAATCACATCGCCTTCTGGGTATTTTTCAAGATGGCCGACCTCTTGTTTCCAGGCCCTTACATATTCAAACGAGCGTTGAAATTCCCGCTCGATTCCCCGCTGAGAAAACCATTCGTTAAATCCCCGACCCCCCGGTGCAATCATGGTCTTAAAAGCACATCAAAAACGCGTSACGTCCCCGTTCAGTACCCCGCTAGCCGCGGGGTCGGGGGTCGGGGGGCAATTGACTAGTGCATAAGACCTGATAAGATTAAAATTTTCTCAAAATTTTAGGTACGGTTTACATCGCACGAAATCAATAATGCAGTTTAACTAAGGAACATGGACATGCAAAAACCATTAAAGATAATATGCTTTTAAATCAAATTATAAAGCAGTTTCATGCACGTTTTTTGGCATTCTGCAATGTGATCTTTTGCTGTCATTTGACTATTACACTTTATTAGTTACACTTTGTTTCACGGGTTTATGAAAACCACTCTAAATCAATTTTCAAGTCATTCTACGTTCTTTTACTTCCTCGGAAATCATGGTATTATTGAAAGYGTAAAARTCAAAAAGACACAAAAGAAAACAATGGAATTAGGGTCTACTAAAGTGTATTAGGCCTAGGGCAAACGTCGAACTTTCCAAGCGCCGAACTCATTAAAAACAATTGATATCAGGTGATAATGAGGCGGCATTCTTTGATATGATTAAGTTCGGTGCATGTAAAGTTCGACGTTTGCCCTAGGCCTTAGTCTAACATCTATTTCACGGGTTTTATGACTTCACTCTAGAACTAAAAASGTTGGAGGTGATAAATACAGCATTAATGACAATTGGAAGACTACAAACAAACCAAGTGTAGTTTTGGTATTTTCAAGGGTTGGTCTTAGATCTAAAAACGTTGGAGTTTTAAATTGTACAATGGCTAAATAAACATAGTTCAGTACTTTTGGGTGAYATATATTTGAGTGACGAAAATAAATTCTTAAAAATCTTCCTTTTCTTCTTCTTTTCTCTTTTTAAGAAGAATGACTTCTTTTTCTATAAACGATKTCCCTAATTTGTTCATTGTTAATTGGTTTCTTTCATACATAACAGAGATTTAAGAAAAGTATTAAGAGATGGTGAGGGTCATCCGCACAAGACTGAAGAAATCAACTGCTTCAATGCGTGCAGATGGAGTACTTGTCTCATTCCTTAGAGTGCATATCATATATCCGTGAAAACCTTTGTTAGTAATTGCAGAAATATGCGCAAATTAGTGAGCATTGTAGACTTCTGCAGTAGATCGTAGACCTACAAAACTGTGCCTTAGTATACGCACAGGCTAACCACTCTAACATTGTTCACACCAAGTTTGTGGAGCCGGCGTACTACGTAAGTTTACTGCAAGCAAAAAA